AATTAAAGTCCGACGGCAGATGATGTTTGCGTGCTGCACGTTTAATTTCTCGATGCACCATCTGCCTTTCTTGCGATTGGGCAACGGTACAGGTGATGAGATCACGCCAGGTGCGGCGATTTGTTGCCAACTCCTCCCAAATATTTAGGTCAATACTTAATCTGGACAAACTAACCTTGATATTATCTTGGTAACGCAACTTGGGTTTGCCAGCATTCCGGCCACCTGCGATCAGTTGCCCGTACAGCAATTGCTTCGGGATTCTCGTTGCATCCATACGGCGCACATGTCCAAGCCACCGGAGATGTCGCAGCAGTAGCATGTAGTCTATGGTGTACACTTCGCTCCGGCGGATCACATCAGTGTCTGGCACATTGTCCCACCATTGTATGCGCAGAATCCGGCGAAGGCACTGTTGATGGAATCGTTCCAAAAACCGGATATCCTTTCTGTACAGTGTCCAAGTTTCCGATCCATAGATAAGGACTGAGAGAACCATTGATTTGTACACCATCACCTTGGTTCTAACAGTGAGATGATGGTTCTTCCACACGCGATGTTCCAGTTTCCCAAAAGCCGCACTTGCCTTCGCCACACGAGCGCGCAGTTCGTTGGTGATTCGCAGGTCGCTTGACAATGTACTCCCAAGGTAGCAGAAGGCGGACGTGTTCTGTAGTACTTCATCTGCAATCCGTATTTCTGGTCCGCACACGGGCTGCACTCCCGGTGCCGGCTGAAATAGACATACAGTCTTGCCTGTGTTTATGCTGAGTCCAAACTTAGTCGCTGTGGAAGCTAATATAGTCGTCATGCATTGCAGTTCTTCCTCAGTATGTGCAAATAACGCGCAGTCGTCTGCAAACAGCAGCATACGAATGGTTGTCTCACGCACTAAACTTCTTGATCCAAAGCGGCGGATGTTAAGCAAACCCCCATCCATGCGGTGCTCTAGATGCACACCGTATTCGCATGTGTTGAATGCGCACGACATCACAGCCGTCAGGTAGATATTGAACAGTGTGGGGGCTAAGACGCATCCTTGCTTCACACCGGAGATAACGGCAAAGTCATCTGTAGTCTGTCCACTTAGCTGCACCCTTGCTCGCATGCCAGTATGCAGGCATTCAATGAGACGAATAAACTTTGCAGGGCATCCAAACTTGGAGAGAATCAACCACAACGCCTCACGGTTCACCGTATCGAACGCTTTGGTGAAGTCGATGAACAATGAATACAACGGTTGATTGCATTCACGACATTTTTCCTGTAGTTGACGTGCTGCAAAAACCATGTCGATGGTGCTACGGCCCGAGCGGAATCCACATTGCTCCTCAGGTACATTCGGTTCTAGTACATGTGTGACAAGGCGATTGAGTAGGATACGGGCAAAAATCTTGCCAACGCAACTAAGTAAGTTGATGCCACGATAATTGTCGGTGTGTTGTTTACTACCCTTTCCCTTGTACAGTGGAATCACAAGAGCATCCTTCAACTCTGCGGGCACTTGCTCTTCCATCCAGACGGCTTCCACCAAACGATGCAGGGCACGTATCATAACTGGTCCTCCGTTCTTCAATATTTCCGGTGGTATGCCATCAACACCAGCGCATTTCCCATTCCGTAGTTGAGCAAGCGCTCTCTGTGTTTCGTACATTCCCGGTGTCTCCTCCAGTTGCGATAGTACGCTATGGTGTTGCAGCCCGTGTAGTGTGTCCCAGTCTACCTCTGATCGATTGTTCAGGAGCGTATCAAAGTGTCTGTGCCACATTTGCAAGATGTCATCAGATTGTGTGTATACGGCGCCAGTCTCAGAGTCTTTCAGGGTCTTCATTTGCTGCACAGTGGGCCCGTACACTGCCTTCAAGGAGTCGTAGAATTCTTTTTGTTGACGATGTTCAGCGTAGGACTCCATCTGCGCAGCTTGCATTGTCCACCACGTATTTTTCACCTGACGCAGCTCTCCAGCTAGCTGTCTTCGAATGTGGCGAAAAGCATTACTCTTCATGGTGTTGTTAGGGTCAACCTCGGAGGCGATGAACGCTGCGTTTTTTGCTCGTACTAATGGCCCAATCGTCAAACTGTTTTCGTCGAACCAGTCGGGCCGTTTACAGTTTGTACACCCAATCGTCTCCTCCGTAGCAATGGTCACCTGTTTCTTCAAGTGGTCCCATAGGACGCTGACAGAAGCCGAGGAGTCGTCTTCGCCAAGGCGGGTTCTTATGGCATCCTCCAGTGCTTGTCTCTTTTCTGCACTCATAAGGGCGCGTACGTTGTATTTCCTCCGATTGCTATTCGCTGGAAAGTACGACGATTTGTAGACATTTATGTAGAACTTTGTGCGCACCAGCTTGTGATCAGTCCCACATTCAGCTCCACGCATTACCCGCGTTATGCGTACTTCACGCATGTCCCGTTGACGTACGATGACGTAGTCCAGCAAGTGAGCATGACCACTCCGTGGGTGGGTCCATGTAGCAATGTCCCTAGCACACAGAGCAAACTGAGTGTTCGTGATCGTCAAGCCATGTGTAGCACACAATGAAAGCAAGCGCTCTCCGTTCCCATTGACTATCCCAATCCCGTACGGCCCGATCACCTCAGCCCACACTGTGGCATCACACCCTACACGTGCATTGAAGTCACCAAGCAGGAATAGTCGATCATTCATTGGGACAGACTTTATAACAGTGGCCAATTGCGAGTAGTACTGATCTTTCCTGTCTTCTGTATAACTCATGGTGGGACTATATGTGCTAATAAATGTTGCGAACTTACCACGTCTGAGGCATATACGGAGCGACATCAACCGTGGGCTGATACCAATCGGCTCCCCCGTCAAACGGCCATTTAGGCGGTCAGTGATTGCAAATCCGACGCCTTGTTCACGTGGTGCTGCTTCGGGATTTCCAATCCAGTAGAAAGTGTATCCAGCACCATCCTCTCGCAATTTACCTTGATCAGCCAGTCGAGTCTCACTCAGCGCTGCGATATCAATGTCATACCGCGCAAGTTCCATGGCGACTAATGCGGTTCGTCGCATAGGTCGATGATTAGTGTCCCGATCGTGCAGTGTGCGCACATTCCAGCATCCAACCTTGAGTGTTTGACGTGCTGGTCTGCGGCCACGTGTGGCTCTTGATCTCGATGGCGGAGATATGGTTGGATTTGCCTCGTTCGGGGGTTGGGAGGAAAAAATTGGTTCAATCGAAAAGGGGACTTGGACAGAGGAACGTGGAGTGTTATGGAACCGGGGAACAAGCAAATGATCAATGCTGGTTAAATGTCGCTTAGACAGCCTACAGTGTGTGCGAGATGAGGTGACACCGACACCAATATTGCTCGACAAACTACGTCGACGCGGGGTGCTATTATGTTGCATTGGACTTCGCATACTCAGTAGCAGCACGAGAATTGTGTGTGTAGTGTTACCAAGAAATCTAGTAACTGGTCTCAAGGGCTCCTTTCCGTCATAGAAACTGACATCAGCTCACGCATTGCAAAATTCAGAACTGACTTCTTGAACCTGCGGCATCTTTGGCGACAGAAGGGAGCTTCCCTTCGTCTGAAAGGCTGCGTATGCAAGGCAACAGTGAGGGCCGTTCTGCTCTATGGTAATGAGACTTGGTCCCTTCGGTCTAAAAATTTGAGGCGCCTTCAAATCTTTGGTCGTTCTTGTCTGCGAAGCATTGCTGTTGTCGGATGGCACCAGCGTGTCCGCAACGGTGATGTGCGTAGACGAGTACTAAGTGGTGATAATCATGCTAACTCCCTAAAACAACAGATAGCACTGGATAATTTACCTTGGTTGGGGCACATGTTACGTGTGCCTGGTCACCGCTTAGCTGGGAGGACCTTGTTTAGTCTGCCAGGTGTAGGGTGGCATAAAGCTCGAGGTGGACAGAAGTTGACTTGATAGCGGTAAATGAAGTCACTGACGACAAAGCTGGGTGTCGTTGGTCCTTCTCGCCTTCCAGACTGGAGTTCACCTGACTCGCCTTTTGCTTGGCTCGCAACTATGCAGGACATGGCTCGTAATTGACACCAGTGGCGCATCTGCTGCCGTCTCCTAATCGGATTGCCTGTTTAAAGTGTGTTTAGTACTGTGTTATCTGCGAGGTAATGACTGGTTATGACGGGGGGCAGAGAAAGCCGCAAGGAAGCTGTCTCGCCAATGCCGATGCATTTGCACGATAGCCAGCTGTTTGTGACGGTGTGTTGTCCACACAAGGTGTAGGCGCCTTGACCCTGAATGTTTGCTAAGAGGCATTAAGTTTTTCAGGTAAGTCCCGCTTCTCTCCCACTTATTATTCTTCATTCCATAGGTCATCATGATTGTATGGTAGCGAAGCATCAGTTCAAATGGCTGATATACTGCTGTTGTTGATGATATTAATGGTGGTTCCGGCTGTAAATGATTGCTACTTGGCTTAATGACTGATCGAAAGGCCACCGCCTTGAAGGTGCCTATTGCTTTGTCTGCTACTCCGGATGTTTCTAACTGCTGCTAGGCTCAATGTGTAGTCTGTTTGGGTCACCACCTTGGTCGTGGAGTCGGGGAATAGTAGCTTCACTTCCTGTGAGTCTCCGCGTGGCGACCGCTGGATAGGAATTGGGCTTGCTCATCTCTGATCAAAGATGCAGGACAACCCACGTAAGGCTAACCACCCTGCACCTGCGGTTACTAAATCTTTCATAAAGTCAAAGTCGGGCCAAGCCTCTATCCTGGTTCAAAACCGCAGCAACCGTACCGTTAGGGTCACCTCTTTGGTTCCGGTAGCTTCCGGAGGTGGGGAGCGGTTGGGCTGGGAACGTGATGTCTATCTGCATTCCCTAATGCTAATGCAAGCTGAGATGGTTGAGGGTCATAGGACTCCTGGTCATATCGTTGATGTCCGTGACGGGTATACTTGATTTTGTGGTGCAGCCTTCGGTCCCAAGCGTGATATTGGCCAACATAATAGGCACAGACATCCTGTGGAGCTCAATGAATAGGGCTTAAAATGTTGCCAAGACGGAGAGAATGGTCCAAGGATGTGGCCTCACGGTTGTTTGCGCAAGCAAACCAGTTTCTTCCAGAGTGCGCAAGCAAAGTTGAAGTCTATCGTCGACACGCTGCTCAGTTCCCAGGGTGGAGTGTCGAAGGCATAAAGAAGCAATTGGAGAAGATGCGCTGGCCGAGATGGTGGCCTAGTTCGGACGCGTTGCTTTGGGACTCACCGGCGGTGCTCCGTGTTCCTCCAGTTTTGCTTCCTGAGGTTAGTGCGGATTTGACGGAAAGCGACCTGGTGCCCGATGGGATGACCAATAACCGGGATCCAGATCAAAATGAAGCGCCCCTTGAGCCAAACATCATGCAGTTCTCTTATGAGGAGCATACCGCTCATTCCTGGAGGGTCTGTGGTATGATTCTGACGTAGCCGGGGTGTTCGGTGAGTTGGTTGATTTAATACCGCCGGACGGGGGAGGGTGCCTCTGCTACGGCTGCTTTGGGAGCTGACAACTCACCGAATGGAGAGGAGGGCGCCTCCTAAGGCTGCGCGGAAGGTTGTTAAATGGTCGGTCGAAATAATTTACCGCCTTATTAGAGAACTGAAGCGCTTTTCGCACGGGGTTGCCCTGGCTGGTCGGCTGCTTCAGTTTGCTGAGCAGTTGCAAGACGGTACGCTCAGGAAAAGAAAAGGCGTGGTGCGTCTGTGAAAGATTACTCAGCATTTTTGACACTCAAATGGCATCCCCGAGACAACGGAAAAGCTGTACTGCTTGTGGCAGGTGGGGGCTCTGGAAGGCCAACTATGCAGCAATCCAGAAACTCTGGACTATGAAGCGTAAAGATGCTGCCCAGGCAATCCTGGATGGTAGTTGGCTGAGCGTGTACAAACCACAACGTGTTGGGCTTAACCACACAATAATTGAGTCTTGGAGATCTGTATTTGGTATGCAAAGTGCAGTGGATGCGGGACCGGTACCCACAGAGAAAGGCCATGATTATGGTCTAGTTGCGTCATTGTCTACGACAAACGTCGGGGAAGCCCGGAGGAGTGCCGGAGGTGCAACCCCAGGACCACTTAAGATGTCGGTGGCGGATTGTAAATCCTTGGAATTGACGGTGATCGCACAGCTCTTTAATCTTACAATGGTACTTGCGTGCCCTCTCCCATCTTTTGCGACAGCACGATTGACATTGGTGCCCAAGGGGTCGGACCCCAGAACGCCGTCAGAATATCACCCTAATGTGGTTGCTTCCATTTTGCTGTGGGCCTTTCATAAAGTATCGGCTGAGAGATGGTGGTCCCGTCGAACTCTGTCTTCCATCTAAATCCCGTTTCAAAAGCGGGATTGGTCTCTTATGGTCGCCTATGTCCTTCAGTGTATTTTGAGAAGGGTTCAGTCCGACAGCCTGAATGTAGCGGTGGCGTTCTTAGATGTTGTCAAAGCCTTCGACACTGTATCAACTGACACGATCTTTCGAGGCTCAGCTGCACATGGGCCCCGTCAGAGCTCCATCGTTATGCATTATACATCTTCGCAGTTGCTTCTTGTTGACGAAGTGCTAGATAGTCATAGAGGTGTGAGGCAGAGGATCATCTGTCTCCTCTCTTCTTCATCATGGTCATAGACGGAGTGATTGCTGCTACCCTGCCAAATCGGTGGGTGCGGCTATGTGGGAATAAGTTTGGTGCTTTGGCATACTCGGATGACCTTGTGTGGTTCGCTTCCTCTAAAGAGGCGCTGTCTGTGAAGCCAGTGGCTTTGTCTCAGACTTTGTCAGCTGCAAGAATGTCGTTGAACGCCTCGAACTGTCGGGCCATTATGTTCCAAAAGCTCGACAAGCAGAAGTACGTCATCCTGGTGCCTGAGTCTTATCCTCTGGTGGGGGGTGAGCTGAAACCAGTTGCGGTAAATGATGAGATCCGTTAGCTTGGTTCGCGGTTTAACTGAAGAGGCAAATGCCAGGTAAAAAGCCCGACTGTTTTTGCTATGTGGCTCAACGAAATCTCCCTTGCTGCTTTGAAACCGCAGCAAAGACTGGATATGATGCGGGACTTCGTAATTCCCAAAATGATTAATGAGCCGTTTCTGGGGAACGCTCATGGAATACCATGCGGCAAATTGATAAAATGGTGCATTTCAAAGTGCGGGACTGCTTGCGATGCCCGAAAGATGTCGCCCTCCCTTTCTTCTACACTAGTCGGGACCTTGGGGTCTCTATTTGATGTCGTGGGTTATTATTGTTCCTTTTGCTCAACGGGGCAAGTTCGGTCGGCTTTGTTTCTCACCATCGCTGTTGATGCGCGGGCTTCTGGAGTCAGAAGCTTGCAAGGTGAATATCAGAAGCGCCAATTTTCCAGTCCGCCTCATGTAGACTGTGGTGGAGGACAAGAAGGCCATTCAGGGTCTTTGGCGAGAGAAGCTCGGGTCGACGTGCGATTGCAAAGGTTTACAGCTGGACAAGCAAGACACCGCGAGCAACCAATGGATGTTGTCGGGCTGGAGGCTCTTCCCCCGCCTCTTTATTCGTGCTATCAATTTAAGGGGCGGACTTTTTCCTACCAGGGTGCGGAGCTCCAGGGAATTTGCAGGAAGACTGATAATGTTAAGTGACGGGGCGAGTGTGGACAGCCAGAGTCCGTCAAGCACGTTTTGCGGAAGTGTTGCCTTACACACGACGCCCGATGCATGAAACACCATCGAGTAGTACGTAAAATTGGCCGGATTGCGAAGCGGAAGCATTCGACGGCATATGTTGAGCCCGTCATTCCATTACCACCATGTTATTGTAAACCGGGCCTCTTAATTTGTGTCAACGGGTCGATTATTGTTGCAGACGTGGCTATCACATCAGCGAACAGACAGAAACTGGCATACCATGTGAAAGTCTCCAAGTATTCTGGGCCTCCAGCTCGCTACGGGCATACATTGGTGGCAAAGGGTCGAGACGGTTAGTGTGGTTCATTGTCTTATCATCATTTCGGACTGAGAGTAAATTTGGAAGGGATCTGGTGTAGCTCTTCGTCGTCTTGAGTTGTCAGATCGTGACACTTCTGATTTGCCTCTACTGGTCATCGCGGGGTCACTGAAGTGCTATGACTTATAAATGCGGGGTACCTAATGTTAGCTCTCTCTTTCTGTTTGTTGGTAGCAAAGAGGGACCCTATGAAGCAGAAAGCCCAACCCTTTACGAGGCCGACGCTGATGGGACAACGGCGTTGTAGCCAACTGCGTTCGGCGGGACGCCCTTCAAACTTCGGAATGACAAGTGACGATGGGTGGAACGATTACTAATGGCGTTCTCCCTATCCCCGAAAACCATTTTACACATTCCCTGGCACTTGAACTTGAACCTTCAACTTCAGTGCATGAACTGCATGACCATTTTACCTTACTTTGTACTCCATTTTGTCTATTCGGCCCAGTATTTTTGATATTAATTGTGCAGGATGTCTCCAACCGAACTCCGAAAATATATGGTAAAAGTAGATTGCCACGCGAGTACGTATGCAACAGTGGCATAACTATGGTTAGCGGCATCCGGTTTCGGACTTGCCTGTCACTGTGGCAAGCCACAGGCATAAATATACCGTCGTAAATATACCATGCGATTAACTTAACAGAATAACCGATGAAATGCACCCACGGATAATCTGATCGCAACAGTCTGACCATCTTTGATGTTCCAGTCAGATAGTTATTGAATGCTGTGAAGAAACTTCTACGTTAGTCTTGCACACTAACAGAAATATCAGAAGCATAGCTGTCCACTGCTAATTAAATCCATCTGTCCATCAGATGCAACTAAACTAATTCGCGGTCAAATAATTATCTCATCAGCTGCGAAATTCAAATCCACCGTCATTAAGACCGATCATGCGCACGGGAACCATAACCTAGCTCAATCATGGATAGTCGCTTGCCTAAACCGCACTCGATTTCACTCAAAACCAAGCCGCTTCGGTCTAAGCTGGATCAGCAGCTTGACATCAATACGTATGATGATGCTAAAGAAAAACTATTTATGGAATGTGCGACATTAAATGGTATGTCAGAGTACCATTCCTTCGGTCCGGCGTTCCAAGCTCTTCCATGTCTTAATAGTACGGCGGGTCGCAGTAGACACTTAAAGCTGAAACACAAAATAACTAGCTTGTAGACGGCTAGATGCCAAATCACAATAGCCTACAAAGAGACCGATCTACAGCACTGCGCTCAAAGCTGAGTAGTGATCTAACTATCTCATCGTTTATTGATGTAGCCTGTCCACGGGCGAGATAAGAGGTCGATGAGGTTTGCTTTCATTGTCGTCGTCGCTGACTCTTACCGTTCCTTCCCTCCGATATGATTTATACTGCCCTATTCCGTGCTTCCTTCACTGCCTTCTCCATAGCATTGCCCGCAAAGCTGCGTAAAATGTCCAACATTTTGCAAAGAAAGTGCAAAGTTTGCAAAACCCGATGCGATTCGCCAGCCGCTCTGAGCCAATCCTCTGACTTCAAGTGTGTTCTCGTTGGCCGCGTGTTAGGGTTTGATGCGTAAGTCAAGTGAAGTGAGTGCGCTGCCCATTGACTAGATGAGACTTGTGAATGAACCTCGAGTCCATGGACATGGTCGGTGCTACGAGCTACTATGTCCCCCCTCACGTCCGAAACGCTAGATCACAATTGGTCTGAGAGCAATGAACGGCCGGAACATAAGCCTACGACTGAATGGATGTCTTTCATTCCAGCCTGGTCAACATGCTTTATCGTGTTCGACAGAGTAGCTCGTCAGATATTTGTGACTGAGTTGTGGATACCTTCGTCAATGGCAGGTCGTGGCAACGGTGAACAGTGTGAAATATCAAACTGCCTACTCCTGGATTCGTCGCTATCTTGATCAGAAGCCGGATACAACGCAGGCGCGCGGTCGTAAGCGCAATCTGTCGGAGGAAGAGATTGTTGATATGCTGGAGTGGATCGCGAAGGACGCAACTCTAAGACTACACGAAATGCGAGTCTGAGTACGTGCCAATAGGTATAAGAACATTTCAAAGTCTACAATTGCACGACACCTGGGTGGCCGTTTGATAACTATGATGAACACCTATCAGCCTCCAGAAGGAATGAACAATGATCGAACCAAAGCGATACGAAAGGAGTTTGTTCAAAACTTGCTCGAGCTTGAAAGTGAGGGAGAAGTTCGTCACATGGAATGTCGAAATAAACTTCAACGTTTACTACAAACGTAGTCGTGGTCGGGCGTCCAGGGGAGTGGGAGCCTGTGTCAAAGGAGCTAAAAGTAGGGGCCTGAATTTGCATCTCATCGTTGCACTCAGAATGCATGGGAACGTTTCGATGACTACCCGGAGAGGCTCATTCACTGGCCCGCTATCTCTCGAATGGCTACGAGGAAGATACAGAAAGCTGGCATTCTTCGCCGAAAG